CAACATCCAGAAAAGACACAAAACCGAGAATTGTTCGAAGGATGGACTGCTGCCACGGGACTCCAGTCATGCAGAGCTAATAGATCAGCTGCTGCTACCTTGCTTATCCGAACGCCCAGCTGAGGTTACACTTTCTCGCTATTTTCTTTTTTGAAAGACAGTCATCTTATCGCAGGAGCCTCGGATCGTCACGCAACATTTACAAAAGTAAAAGTGACATGGGCTGGGGAGACATGGTTCCAGCTACATCTGGGATAATGAGATACCCTTTTCCAAAGCAAAGCATCATTGTTTTCTTTAACACATCCTACAGCCAGGCAACCCACAATTTCCTTAAGCTCTCTCTCTCCCAGGAACAGTTTACTGTAAATGATTTATTGTAATCCTGATTATTGACAACCTCCACTGACCGTAATTTCTTCTCTCTTAAAGAAGATTTGTCAGTAAGTGGTCTGATTTCCCTTTGCTGGAATCTATATTAACCATGCAAAGCGGGTTGCAGGGGAGGGTGTTATATTTCCTTTCTGCAAAATAAATTCAGTGTCTCTAAGGGACATTTTAAAAGCAAAAAATTAGATTTAAAGAACAGTAACAGCAAAGATTTTTAAGTATGTTAATTTGGCAGTTTCTACTTATCTGTATTCCTCACTGGCTGTGATACACATCAGTGAAAGTAGAGTTGCAAATGGCTTTTGGAGCGAGAAGTTTGGACTCCGTGAACAAATCAGAAAGTCAGAAGTATGTGGCCAGAGATTTTTCTCTCACAGCAAAACATATCCCCAGCGTGCCATTTCTAGGATAAGGATAACCCGGAGAAGCAGATATCCCGGAGCTGCTGAAGAACGGTGCCCATTTTAACGTGAAAACTGAAAAGACCACTGTGATCGTAGACTTGGGATTTTTCCTCATATGGAAATCCCTCTGAAATGGATTCTCGGCAAAGGCGTTAAATAACCACCACTGAACGCAGACTATCAGCTCGACACTGTTTCAGTACAAGGCTGTTTTTCATTTTAATACTCAGTAAAACACTTTCACTGTGCAGGGGGTGGAATTTTTACAGTGTTAAAATAGCAGCAAGACACCTCCTTTCCAGCAAAATGAAATTCATAAACAGAACCTGACAAAGGTCTTGGAGGCGGGGGTGGGGGGGACACACAATAACAATTTGTTTTTTCCTGGACCTTTTGTATTGACCGCCCAAATAACCACAGTACATTCACTTTGTTTTCAGAAAGGACGTCTGATTGCCTTCAGTAAGCAGAGCCAGACCTTTCTGACCTGTTGAATTAACCCTTTAAATAACACTTATTTTCATCTGGTTCTGTCAGGGATCCTAATGGTAAACGTAATGAGAACAGAAAAGCTTCGGGCATGATTATACTCTGCAGTCAGAGCTTTTTTCCTCACCTATTTTCTTCTTTTCATTAATATCATTTCATTGAAATTCATGCTCCTCCTTTTTCTTTATTTCTGACCATTTGTCCAGCATCTCTTGCAACGCAAGGATCGTAACTGTACAAAAGCCTTTAATAAAATTCTAATGCTTAAGACCACAAATTTGGCGGCTGGGCTGAAAAATTGCCGTATAAAAGAGAGGACAGATGCAGCTTTGTATAACCTGAAGATAAGTGGGGAACCAGCACTAAGAGGGCAGGCAGCGTGGAACACTTAACAAACGTACGCGCACATATATTCCCTAGCTGCCAGTTTTCGCACCTGCGTCTTTCAAGATGAGCATCAGTTAGAAGTATATCTCCCCATCAGCCCCCAGCTCAGCTACTGGGAGAAGAGGCTGTGCCCACGACATTTCTGAACTTTATCTGACATCATTTTTTCCCTGATATACTACCATAGGTCTCATCCTTGATTTCCAAGCCGCATTGTGCTTCATCCCCTCGGGCAGTGCAGTCTTACTCATCGTAAATATAGATTTCTCTTTGAACTACAAGGGCAAAAAAAGGTTTTCCACATTTTTAGGTGATATATCTTTGTTAACCAAACCTAATAAACCCCTTAGTTATTTACCTACCAGCCATTTAAACACGTGGCAAAGACCTGGCAAATTAACTCTTGAAGGAAAGTGGCTTTTTTTTCCCCCCCAACTTGTACACCTTGAAATCTAAACTATGAACAAAAGACGTCTTTACATCGGTCCACACTTGGTGCAGCGTTGTGTGCATGACACGAGAAGAGGACGGAAATTCTTCTTTTGCAGTTTTACTGTACGATTACAGCAAACAAGGACCGGGGGGGGAAAAACATGGTAGAAAACAAAATACTAAAAGATTAAATTTATTCCTCTTAATCCAAAGAACACCATCAGATATGTCTCGTATATCCCAAGATCAAAGATTGGGAACTTGAGAGGAGATACAACTAACAAAAATAGGTATGGAAGGATGAAGTTATTTGCATCTCTCAGATCCATTTACTCACGCAAAACAGAACGAAAAGGCTGAAGGGAGTGGTACTAATAAAAAAGCAAAAGTGAAAATATAAGTTTGTAGTCACCATCAGTCTAAGTAACAATAGCAAAACCCCTTTTATTTTACGTAGTCACACTGAAAACTATTGGGGTGCATTTATATAACAATCTCACAATAAAGCAATATTGGTAAATTGGCATAACCTCAAAGCGGTACACTTTTGTTAACTTATGAACCTGTAGAAACCAAAGTAATGACATATTTTTATAAAAACTGTGTGGCAAATCCACCTAAATTCCATATCTCATCTTCATTGTAATTGCACCTACGCAACATTTCTTTAAGAGCTAAAAAATGATTCAGCTGTATTAGGAATTCTTCAGGATGGGGTATTGTCCAGCTGCGTGTCTAACACTGCCTCGTCATCTGCGTGTAACAAGATGGTTTCTTTTACTGTTTTAGAAAGTATTTATTGTAATTTGATTTTGTCGTAACAGGATTTCTACCTGACGTGGATTCGGTAATGGTTTCGCTACTCCAAGATCAATCTAATATTAAATTTTCTTCTTCGGACACTCTGGAAAGAGACCATCAAGACCTCATGAAGACACAGGGGGGTTCAGTATCCCCCGTTCAGCAAACTGTGAGTAAGATGGACCACTTCCCTTCTCTTCCTCCAGAGGCACACGTTCAAATACAATATTCACCGATTGCTGTACTAAATCTCAGCATAGGTAACTGGCAACAAAGTGAACATTGAAAGTTTTATTCATGAAGAGTAGAAACGTGAGTTATTCTTCCGAGCTAGTCTTAAGCTCCATGCTAAATTACCTATTCGATTGCTTAAAAATCCTATTACTTGAAAAACAAAACAGGCAATCTATCTAGCTACTAATCCAGTAAACATGCTACATTTAAAGTAATTCTCAACCTGTTTCTAAAATAAATAAATAGAAAGACAGACACACAGAGAGACATCAGAACCTTTTTGTCTACTCCCTGCCAGCAGAGGATACCTCCCAGCACTTTGGAATTCCTTGGGACTAAAACGATGTCTCTCCTGTTGCCTGTATATTCATCATGTTTACCTTCCATAACAAAAGCACAACCAAGAATAGTGTTTTTCATCAAACAGCAGCAAAATAACCATTGCCATGCTTATATTATGAAAATTTCAGGTGGGCAATTAACAGCACAGCTATTCATACAGCTTCATATAACTAAATATGGGGTGGGGGGTGGGTGAAATTCCATGTACTAGGACTACAAAAGGGAGCGAGGAAGAATTAGGAAGTCACAAACTGAGCAAGTTGCTGTTCACGTGAGAAGCCAGGAGTGTCATGAGGTCAGATTGGCTTTCTGCAGGAATCTGTGGTGGAACAGAACATTAATACTTTGACATGCAGAGCCACGTGTAAGTGAATGAAAAAGCTGTGCCACACTCCACTCCACAGAAAGCACTGGCTTTTGTGCTAACATCCCTTTGGGACTTCTTGAAATCTGGTGCTTCCATGTAGGCATTTATTCCTTTACCTGCTCTCCTAAAATACTCTAAGACCAACTTGGATTTGGAGGGGGAAGGAGGAAAGGGACCTCTCGATATTCTGGTCCGACTTTGTGTGTACCACACAACATTACATTTTCCCCTTCACTGAACACCAGAACCTGCTCTCGGACTTAAGCACGTCTTCTCAAAGGGCATCCAAGCTGTTACTCATCCTTGATCTCAGGGAAAATATGCATAATTTCTATGCTGAATGTGTTCAGCTTCAGGATCCAGACACCAGTTCTTGTTCAGGCTTTCTCTTCTAGATTAAAGAGCACTTCAGTAGCTGTTATTTTCTTTTTGCTAAAGTGCAAAAGGGAAGGGAGGAGATGAGCCAGGAAGGAGGTTAAAATGTCTGCCTAGAGCCTACCTGCCTCAGAAGGAGGGTGGCTATGGTAATGAAAGGACATGAGGTAACCAGCAACACATTTGGCAGCTCCCAACACCAACAGAGAACGAGCTCAAGCTTATTTGACTAAACTTGTATCTGACAAGACTTGCACTGATCAGATTCCTGTCATTTAATCTGTCATCGCTTGATCATACATCATCTTTTCCCTGAAACTGTCAGGCCAAATAGTCAATACTGACCTAAGACATCCCGTTTCTCCAAGCTAGCTCAGTCTTCTCAACGCTTTTAATGATTTACTTTTGAACGGTTTTGGATACCAAGTAACCAGAAAACCCTTTGGATCCTTTAGGGCTTCTCTGCGTGAAGGTGGCTAGGACGAGTAATTTTATACTTCTCATCAATAATATATTTTTAATGTACTTTTTTTTTTTAAATAATGAAAATAATAAAATGTTTGCTCATACTAATCCTAAATAAATGCCAATAATCCATTGCAGGATAATCCCAGTTATAACTGCCAACCATATGAGTCAGACGGGAGGACAGAAAGGAAGAGTTCAGAGTCTTCTCACAGCCCCAGCCCTGCTTCTCCAGCCCAGGATCAAATTCACGGGAGATACCCTACAAGCCAAGGAATACACTGCGGCAAGAACAAATTTAAAGCCTCTTTCAGTACTGAAAAATTCAGACGGTACAGTTACGAGGAAAGTACTGTAGGAAATTATGACAGGTTTCTCAAGAGCAGCAGAAACCCCTTTCACCCGTACAAGAGGCAGATCAGCGAAGAGGTCTTCCAGGAAGCACATCAAGCCCTCCCGCCGGAGAGTTCCCCCTTCAAAAACACCAGAAGCATCGATGGTTTTGAGGGTCTACCAGGATCTACAGGTCCTGACGAGTCAGAGTCATTTCCTACGCACATTCCGAACATCTCCACCGAACAACCCTGGTGTAACAGCCTCCAGTACAGCACCACAGGGCAAGATCACAGTTCACAAGTCATGGTCAGTATTTTTTCTAACTTTTTTCCCCCCATTTTCAATGGCAAAAATATACTTTTGGAATTATTTTCTTGTGTCTTAATGTGACCACATGAACATTTAGTCTCTTGTCGAGTTGCAGGCTAGAGCTCAGCATAGACATCCTCATTTATTTGTTGAAGATTTCTTTTTTATAGCCTTTCCCTAATGAAAAACAGTCCTCAAAAATCCCTACTGAAAAACAGTCCTCAGAAAGGTGCATAAGGGCAAAGGCTTTTCCACTAGACATGATACACGAATCCTTAACATCCAGACTCTTCCTGACAACAGATAGTTGTCATCAACTAGTATTTTCAAGGGACAAAAGTTCACAAAACAGTATTTTTCAAGCATGAGGACATGTGTATCAGATTTGTTACAGCACCTCGGCTGACCTGCATTTTTCTCCGTGCAAATAGAAGAGAAACTAAGACATCAGTACTACTTAAAATTGAATATAAGATGTGTTTATGGTATGTGCAGTGTAAAGGTACTTGGGCTAATTCACATACTGGCTAGAGGCGACTGCCTGTTTACAGCATCACAGAGATCCCTGAGAAGCAAGAGAAATTACCCTCCAGGACCCCCACAAAGCATCTCTGCTGTGATCCAAAGCGTAAAAGTTATCTTCATCGTCTAGTGCAGACAAAAACAATGACTACATCTGCCAGGAGAGGGCCTTAGCCACTGGTTCTAAATTGCTGTGAGGCAAAGAATTCGCGGGTTACCAAAAGAAAGAGGGGTAAAAAAAAAAAAAAATCTTAATTGGATTAAGACAATTTACCAGGGAATGGAGGGATGTTGTTGGGGTACATACCTGGGGATTGAAGCCATTCAGGTTAAGGAGGAAATTGATCTAAATCTCTTATTTCCTGGATAAATACTCATCTAGGTCAGATGAGTTTAATGCAAAACCTATAAGCAGCTGATGAAAAAAATTCCCATTTTCTTCCCAAATCCCCGGGCTGCAAGACGTAGAGACTGTAAAGCTGGCACTGCAGGAGCCGTTTACCAAGTAGGGGTGACTACTCGGGAAAAGATGGGCTCCTTCTTCATGTCTCCATGGCTTCAGCCAGCACGCAACTTCAAAGCTCCAAAATAGCTCACACCCTGCTGGCAAGGTGACATTTCTGAAAATCTTCAACTTACGGTCACCAAAAGAGTATGGGCATTTATTAATACTGGATGTGGCATTTGCTCGGTGCCACCTATCAAATCCAGTCTAATCTGTACCCCTACACTAATCTATACCATAAAAGATGGTCATTGTGGCCTTGCTTTAAAGCAGAAGGATAAGTGCCACTAGTTCCTTGAAATAAGAAGATGTCTACGGCATCAGTTCTCAGGAGGGAATTCCTGGGCACTGCTGTTAAGTGGAGGAATGTACCAGATGTGTGGATAAGGGCACTGCTTAAGACACATCCTGAAAGAAGGTTGTAGAGAAGTGGGGGTAGATCTCTTCTCCCAAGTCACAAGCGGTAGGACAAGAGGAAACGGCCTCAAGTTGTGCCAGGGGAGGGTTAGGATGGGTATTAGGAAAAAAATCTTCACCAAAAGGGTTGTCAAGCATCGGAACAGGCTGCCAGGGAAGTGGTGGAGTCACCATCCCTGGAGGTGTTTAAAAGACGGGTAGATGTGGTGCTGAGGACATCGTTTAGTGGCGGTTTTGGCAGTGTTAGGTTGATGGTTGGACTTGATGATCTTAAAGGTCCCTTGCAACCGAGACGATTCTACGACTCCCCGCACTGTTCGTGACCCATCAGAGCTCTACCAAGCGCTCGGCTTATCCCACGCTGTGTTTGAATGGCCGAGCTAAAGCAGACGGTGTTACCACACACCCCGTGTGCCACACTCAGCGTTCTAGCAAAAAGAGAGCAACATTTAACCTCAAGAACCCAAGGGCTCCTTGGCGGAACCAAGCCCGATGTGGAACTGGGGACAGGCAGCTGGGCAGACCTCCGAGAAATGAAGACTTGATCAACTTCTCCATGTTTGTTTCCACAGTTGCAGAAATAAATCACAAATCACATTCTTCCTCTATTTCCTATATCTTGATCGAATCGAGTAGTCAGCCTAGTTTGATTCTTCTCCACCACCTCTTCCCTGTGCGTTACAGACTTCACCCTCTACCCAACGACAAAACTCCAGCTTGGGGCACTGGCAGGCTGCAAGATAAAAATCAAGGAGTGGGAAAAAGAGAGAGACACACGTGCACGCTCAGGAATGAAAGCTGGAGTATGCAGTTGGTGTATGTAGGGGAAAAAGATAAACAGAAACCGACATTTTCCCAATTGCTCTTTGCATGGAATTTGGACTGGGATTTCCCTTCTTAAAGTAGTAATTCTGGAAATGTTTCTTCTCATACCACTAAAATATAAAACAAATTCTATGTCACACTCTACTGTGACAGAATCAAGTCCAAAAAAGTAGTAAGTATAATGGACGACAAAACACAACAGCAACTGACAGAATTATTCTACTTTAAATTGAGGTGTTTTCTCTAATAAATATTTCCCTTAAATATTTCCAGCAGGATTCAGACATGAAGCTCAGGACATCCCCGCTGGAAGGGCAGCCTGGTTTGTATTGCTACCAGCCCCCAGTGCAGCAGATGTACTGCCCCTCGCATCCTTTCCATCAGGTCAGTACAATACGTAGACCAAAATCCCCTCTATTTCTAGCACTGTAACGGTGTAGTGGTTACGGTAATAGTCCAAAAAGACAGATGAAACAATGCCTGCTAGATTCCCGTTTGCAGGGCCGTGTTTGTATAGATACATTTTGTTTATTACAATGAGATCTTAAAAGAACCAGATCTAAATGCATTTTTAAATGGTCATCCAGAAAAAAAAAAAAGAAAAGAAAAAAAAGAAAAAAAAAAGCCAAACTTGTAAAAATGGGATCTTGGTACTTCTCGTTTATATTTTCACCATTACACTCAAGAAAATTGGCTTTGTAACCAGATGAATTATGAACATAATGGTTGGCATTTCAGAATCCAAGGGAATTAACCGTGCGTTAACTTCAGAATAAAAAAAAATTAAATGTATGTGACTGTCTACTCAAAATTCAGATCAAACCGTTTCAAAGCAAAATTTTAACAGCAAGCTGATGCGCGCTTCCCTTGTCCTTGATGGCACACACGTCTCTTTTGCAATCTCTCCACTGTTACATCATCCCCAGTGAAAGATTATTCAGCTGAAGCATAATTGACAGTAATGCTGATGATGCATGAGAATGCACGATATTAAGGCTGTTCTTCCGTAATGTAACTATATTATTAATACTAAAAATGCCCGGGAGTAACCGACACCTTGTTTTTCTTTGAGTGTGTTTAGATGCCGTTTGAATACATGTCAGTTCCTATTTTCAAAGCAGCACACGCACAGTATCTTTGTAAAGTCACACATATACCCCTTAACCTTACACGTGATCCTAGTACGTATTTATAGAGGTTAGCGAGTGGGGTCTGCAGAGCTTTGAAAACTTGGCACAGAGGGAGGGTGTCTATTACAGAGAGTAATTTTCATTACTCTGTAATGTCTTTAAATAATTTCCTTTAGATATAAACGGTGGTGCTGCTCAATGCATTGAAATTTTCCTCTTTCATGCTCAGTTACCCGCAAAGTAGAAAATTTTCAGTAGGAAAGATGCTCAAGGAGATAAAAACATGCTTGAAACACCCTATTAAAAAAAAAACAAAAAAAAACAAAAAAAAACCAAACAACCAACCAAAAAACCTCCCCTAACCTTATTTAAGGTGAAATTAAGGCAATGTGGATTTCTCAAATATATAGCCAGAAATCCATACACAAAAATAGCACAACTACCAAAAGTCCCAACCATTAGAACTGAATTAAACTGAACTGACAGGAAATTCATATATATAAAAACATTTGAACATAAAAGCTCACACTTGAGTGATGACTCCTTTGATCCCAGTGGCTGATGAGTGATATTGCGGAATCAACTGTACCATCTCATTCAACTTGCTCCAGAAGTATAAAAAAATGTGACTAACAGAGCAGTGATTTAAAAGCTTGCAAAGAACACAAAAGTCAGGTTACTGTATGATATTTCTTTGGGATTGTTAACTCATATGGTGTTACTCGTCTGAGTCATCGAAATAGCAATCACACCAGTCATCGCCAGGATTTGGTCCCTCATGAGGAAAAAGAGAGGTTATTTTTGGCATGATTTTCTTTAAGAGGAAATATGGCGACGGAATAATCTCACTCCTGGCTCTTTCTTTTACTTATCACTCTGGCGTTCCACTAGCCAGAATTTCTGAACCTTCCCCCCCTCCCCCCCCCCATAACATGGCAGAAAGATAACTATCTTTTAAGTTCTTATCAACACCATCATAACTCATCCACTTGCTTTTTCTTGTTAGCCTAAAACTCAGTAGAAGTGATAAAAGGTAACAATAAACTCAATAGAATAAAAAGAAAGGTGGTATTACACCACCACCCTAACTTACAAATCGATTGATCTTATTATTGTTGTTTTAGAAGCAAAGGGTCCCAGACGAAGGATTAACTTGCTGCAAAAGCTCTGCTGCAAATATAAACTCGTTCCCCACGGGGACGGCAGCGCAGACCCTGTGGCTGTGCCGCAGCACCGTTCATCTCACACGCAGCGTAAACGTCAGGTTTGCGTGTTGCTTTAGCAGAAACGCCAGTTAGCTCATTAATTCATTTGAATATTTTTTTAATTTCTTTATCCATGCGGAGGCAGGCACCCTTCCCCTGTCACTGCCGCTTCGATACCAGTACTGTTACTATACATTGGCTTTAACCACATTAAATATATATATATATATATACACAAAATTAAAGCTGAAATACACCTTCTGGGAGTTGCTAGGCAAGACACAACAAGCACTAAGAGGAAAGTTTTCCATCCACCTGCCGGCTGGCGCTGGGACAGAGCCCGTCCATGCGGCAGGTTCCTGTTAGACTTTTCAATATTTGTGCTTCTTAATGTCACTAGAATAAAAGTCTGGCAACGTGTTTTGCCACTCAGAGGAAAAAAAAACCCAAAAAAACCGATAGGTACAAGCAGCCAAAGTCGTAGCAGGTAGAATTGCTGTCCGTGCGCCACAATCGGGTACCGGGAAACGAAAGAACATGTGATACAGGACTGGGAAGAAAGGGAATAACACCTTTTTCACGAAACAGCTCCAGAATGAACACTTTACGTGTCAAACGCCAATGGAGCAGTGCAATTTAAATCAGCAGGGAGTCACGCTCAAGAGAACGGGCCCTTTAGCCTGAAGTGAAGGATGCTCAAACCGCGCCTCACTTTTCATTAGAGGGATGAGAGACATCAACTCCTTCCTTAATTTTGTCCGAACGATAAAATGGCCTCACCTTCCCCTTTGCTGGACACAACACAAATGATGACTCATAAGAAAAATTGCGTCTTACTGACCTGAAAGAAACAGCAGACACTTACTGAAGTCACTCACCCACCCTCCATAAAACACGGACACCTTTCATGCCAGTTGCGCGACGGTAAAACCAGCTCGAGCCTGTCCTACCAGACCATTCCCCAGCCTCTGCTCCCTCAAAAGGGACTAATGAAACCAATAAAACAGAAATAATCCTTAAAACGCCCCTTTCCTGTCTTTGGTGACGACGTCACAACCAGTCCCATCTCAGTATTCTTTCTTTTCAAACAGCCACTAAAACCAACAAAATTCAAATTATTGTATGAATCGCCCAGTTTTCTACTCCGGTGAAAAATCTACACCAAACGCACAGGGGAAGCAGCTCACAGCTGCTCTGGAGACTCCAGTTTGGCCCAGTATTTAGCTTAACAAGGCAGGACATGATTAATTATGTACGCCTCATTTCTTTTCGCCCCGCAAACAAATGAGTGCATTTGGTGCGTTCTTCCACATTCCATTTCAGGCAGTTCCGCGTTAGAAAGATAAAAAGCAAACAGGCAAAAACCTCCATCAGCAACAACAAAATTACGGAGGAACTGGAATAAATTATTTGATATCCAGGCTAAATAAATAAACTACAACCGTGTTGCAAGCGCGTAATAACCTCTCACAAGAATTTTAAGGGGCCGAAGACCCAGAGCGACGGAAAGTATTGGTCTGAAAATAGGGATGACAGTGAGAAACTAAGGAGATGTGTAAACTAATAACCAAGGAAATTTTCCCAACGAATCTCTATAATAATCTTTTAGAGGAACCGTAAAAACCTCGCGACAGAGGACTGCTAGAGGTGAGCAGTAAAGCACTCAGACGGGACTCAGCCACCGTTGAGCGCGAGGGAAGGCACGCAGGGGGACTTTTCTAATAGCAGAGGACATGACTCCCTAATTTTGGCCGTGCCCTAGCCCTGGCATCTGGAAAGATTCATCTGTAAGAGGCAGAAATTCCTCTCACACTGAGCTCGGAGTTCACCGAGAGAGCCAACCGATGGTATCTTACCTGAGCCGGGGCAGCGTCTCTTTGTTCTCAAAAGTTGCCCGCCAGCAGGTTTAAACTGCAATTTGGGAAAGAAAAACAGGGGACCAGCTGCTGTGCTAAAAAGATTGAGAGCAAACCTGCAGAAACTCTGATGCGATCAAAGCTATCTATGTATTATCTCCCCTCTTTCACCTATTTTTGGGGCATATTCCCAGCCTGGTGATGGCACGTCGGGTCCTTAGCGTGTCTCAGAGCCGGGCAGGCTCAGGGATCTCTGGAAAAGGGAGCTCGGCGTTCCGGTCTCAGGGAGCATCTGCGGCTTGTCCCTAGGGCTGGGGTGAGGGTAGCAGAAATGCTATCTGATTTGAGATGTCCTGGCTATTCTTTTTAGCTTTCTGATATAGGAAATGGAGGGGGGAAGAAGCAGCTGCTTGAGGTGGTGGGTAACAGCACTTGAACACCCGGGCTCTGGGAGAAGTCTGGTTCTTGTCATTGACCATGAGGGAACCGCACAGCTTCAGCACGAGTCAGGTGATATGAAAACCACCCGTGAGAAATGTCTCGTATGCCACTCTCATGACGCCCGGAATGACATCACTAACTTATTCTTTTATAATACATTCGTTTTATATATATATATATATATATATATATGTATTCTGGCATCATCCACTAAAACTTTTGTTGTCGTCATTTATCTTTTTTGCTGCCTCACCTGAGAGCAGCAAATTGAACGGCTGCTTTGGGCTGCTGCTCTCTTGGGAGTAGATTTTATACACTTGGAATTTTTGCCTTGTTGTATCCCTCTCCACCTAAAAAAAAAAAATCCCCAAAAACAGCACACAAAGCCAGCCAAGGCTCAGTCAATACTTCCCTGTTTCTTCCTGTATTTTTAGTGGCTTTACTTAATAGGTTTATTTTTTTCTACGGCGTGCATTGTTTTAAGGACTTTATTCTGGTTTTTTATTTATATAAATAAAATTACACCATCAATTTGCTTGTCTGCATAGTGCAATGTTCAGGGGAGGCTGAGCAGGCTCAGGTACTTTAACTGCAAAAGAGATGGCTGAAGGGAGAGATGCTTTAGGTCTATAAAATTGTGAATTATCTGGAGACAATTAATAGGGTACAGTCACTCCCATTTTCCACAAGAACTCAGTAGCACAGCAGGCAATAATAAAAGAAAGTACCTGTTTTTACATACTTCAATTTGGAACACACTGCAAGGGGATCTAGTACCAGCCAACACACCGGTGAGCTCCCCCTCGTACGTGCCCTCTTCCTTCTACTTCTGAAGCATTAACTGGTAATATGAATGTTTCCCAATACCACGCTAAAAAGACTTTGGGTCTGACTTGGCATAACAGCTATTAAATGTGGGCAGAGGACAATATCCTCAGAACTAAATAGTTTACTACCGTTATCAAGAGAGAAGTATTTTGGGGAGTTTGTTGCTAAGCCAAGTAACACCTCTTTTATTGTTCCATCAGTATCCCTCCGGAGGCAGCTACCCTGTGACTTATATCACTTCTTCACACTACCCGTACCAAAGAATCGCTCCTCAAAGCAGCCAAGAATCCCAGCAGCCTCTATTTCCCAAACCCATCTACTCCTACAGGTAATAAATTTTTTTTTTTTTTTTGAGTCCTAATGTTACAGGAAATACACTGTTTACCCGTGGCCTATTTCCAGCATAATTTGCAATAACGTGCTTACTCGTCTTTGTCTTGTTCCCGGTGTGCTCTGTCCTGTTTGTATGAATCACGAGATGTTCCAGGCTCTGGGGCCGAGGCAGAGGGAAATGAAATGCTGTAAAGCATGCAAACGGTCCTGCTCGCCCCCACAAAAGCTATTTGTTTCTCTAATACAAAATCTCAGGTGTTGCAAATTTCATCAGCACAAGACTAATCACACTCAGCTGCCTTTTCCAGGGCCTGTATTAAAACTAATCTTTTTTTTCCTCTGGTTACTAGGGCAAGGGACTGCCTAGAAAATATATCAGATATGCCACTCACCACACAGGTCTAGCCCCCAAATAGCAGCCTAACAACGTAGATCAGACAATTAAATTTTAATTGTACCTTCTGCCACTGTCCATTTGATATTCTGTTTGTGGCCTTTACCAGTTTAAGCATCCAAACGCAACCTTAAATAAATACACGCTGGCAGGATTTGAAGGCTGTGGTCTTGATTCCACCTGATATCACTTTATTTTAAAGCCGCGTTGGACCTTCTATGTGCGCTTTGAGAATTACCTCTAGAAGTTAAGCAGTGTAAAGAGATCACTTAAAAACAACTGAGTGGAAACTTTAAGCATTTAAGTGTTGCCGCTAGGACAGTGAAAACCAGAGTAATTACATGCACTGTGAAAAATGGGGTGGGGTTTTTTTTCTGCCTTCGAGGAGTCAAGCAGAACAGGCTAAAATACTTTTATTTCTCTCCCTAAAGCATCCTGATCTTCATGGCACTCAAAAACAGCAAGACAGGGAGCTTGCCAGTCAGTGAGATTTACAATTTCATGACGGAACACTTTCCTTACTTTAAGGTGAGTTCCACAGGAAGGGGGGAAGCTCTCCCCAGCTCGTCTGGCAGCAGAGGGAGTGAGGGAGGGGGTTCAGGCTGTGAAAAGGGATAATTTCTTAAGTAGATTAACATCAAATCAATTACGCGCTCTATACCTTCATGATCACAAACGACCCGGCATTTTAGGCCTGGGTAGACACGTGAATGTGATACCTGGTAATATCTCACACGAAAAGGTATTAAGAACCATTCCAACTTTGAGTTTGTGCGGGTAACAGTGGCCATTCCTCACAAACAACCCCTAAAAAGGATAAATCGTTTGAAAAACCCACCCGATTCCTTCCTCTCAGATCTCAAAGACAGGCAGGACTGGTCTGGTGGGTTCCTCTGTCATCAGTAGCACCTCCGGAGTGGTGCAGGAGCAGAGGTTCACGGTCATCTTGCTCTCTTCTGGAGCTGGGGTGTCCGTCTGAGCCAACTCCATCACCGGCACGTACCGTACAAAGCAAAGCGTACGACGTGATAAAAGGTACTAAGCTCATAATTACACAGCAGTGCTGGTGAAGGTAAGGGTGTACGGTTTGCAGCAGATACTATTGAAATTTAAATCCGTGCTATAAGAGAATGGTTTCCTGCACTTGGAACGCCGGTGGGAAGAGATAAGTCAGCACATGATCCGAGAGCAGAAGGATTACGGTTAAGATTTTAAAAAGAGGTGTAATAGAACCGTCGACGGATGACCAACACGTTGCTGATTCTTCAAAAACATCTCACCGAAAGTCCAGATGGGGTCACCCGCAACTGTTAGCCAAGCCCACAAATGAAAATAAAGCGACGGGAGTCTGTCCCGTTTCCCATCGCGAATAGACATGCGGCGATTAAACCAGACTTAAGGCAATTCAAACATTTGTATTAAGAAAAGAACACCAAGAATAACTAAAAAGAAATGTTCTGATACAATTTTGCAGTGGTTTTTGACACTGAGGATAAATAATAGCCGGGGGAAAAAAAAAACTAAACACATCAGTAATCAGGGAAAAAGAAACCGCATTATCGTGAAGGAAGAACTGTTGGGATCCATTACACGTCTGTATTCCCAGATTTCCTCCCAAAGGAATCACCAGCTCCTCTGTTATTTGTTACAAGCAAGAGAAGGGAGAAAAAATAACGAAACCCACCATCATAATTCAAGAAGTGTCCCATCACATCATGCTTGGCCATAACCCACTGAAACAAATCTGAAGCACTCTTAACTTTGTTAAGGCAGAGGGACACAACCAATTTTTCATCTAAATGCACATGAAATTAAGTAATGACAGTAACCTAAACAGGGAAAGGAAGGGGAGATGGCACACGGCAAGAACATAGTAGACATACTTTTTTTTTTTTCATTTCCAAAACAACAATAAATTTCAAGGTTTGTATTTTTTCCCCAAGAATATCGACTGTGTTTTCCACACATTCACCACAAGTTGCAAGAAATATTAATGATCCAAAGGAAAGTAGTTTGAGGATGGCGAAAAAGGTCCTGAGCCACAACATCTCGAAACTGATGTTTTGCAGAACTACGCTTCTTCGCATAACGCACAAATTATACCATCTGCAGCAAAGTGACGCGTTCTTATCGGATCGCTGTTCTCTAGAAAAAATAGCGTGAGTCTCAAGCAGAGAGGTGGGAATATTAAAAAATAAGTTTTACAGGCATTTATTCGCCAGACCGAACCGAAATTAATTCTCCTTTGTCTTACAACTCAATCGGTTCATACAATTATTCAGCCGTTTGCCAATCAAACGCTGCCAACTGCTGCCAAGATGCACAGGATTCCTCAGCCACAGGACGGTGGCTCCGCCGGGTGTCACCCTCCCGGTCCTGAAGTTCACGTTACTCTGACACAGGGCGATACGCGTCCTCTCCTCCACGCTAGGTTGTGTGGGAACATTGCGTGTTGTCTGTGTTGTGATATTTTGTGTGTGTGCGTTTATATGTATACATACAGACGCACAGCAGGTATATTCCTACTGCAGCTTTAAATAACTGGTTTATACCTAAACTTTTCCCTTCTTACATATCGAAACTTGCCTGTTCCACAGGGAGTGGGGTTTGGTGGCGTTTCCTTTTCGTTTTTCAGATCCTTGTGTATTTTTCTTCATTCATCTAAAAATTGAGGAGAATGAGGTTACTGGTGTCATATGCCTTATAGAAAAAGAATGGCGCAGGGGGTAGTCCTGGAACATTCACTATTTTGCGACGGCTTAATTTTAGCATTTTGCTTACAAATACAGTCAAATCATTGAATAGTTCCATCCCAAACACCCTTAAAATAATCAGGGGAGAATAAACAAGCAAATATTAGGCTTACAGGCTCTAAGCCCCATCTATCTCTGGCCTTTACAGCAGCCTGCAGAATTGTCAATATATGGCAAAAACTAGTATCCTCTTTCTTGCCTTTTTTGGAGACTCCTCAGCAAGATAAACTAATATAAAAATCAGCAAAGAACATTTCGGTGTTGTTACCAAAACGCGCTAAACAGCAGGATACAACAGGGGGAGGGGAAGCAATTTAAGTTGGAGAGAAGCGGAGTGCAAGTGTGCACAGAATCTTGCTGGGAGACATGAGATGGTACAAGCCTAGTCAAATTAACCCGTATTCGCTGCCGCAGCAAATTTAGTTTCTATGATGCAACAATCTCATTTCTAGTTGAAACAGAGCAATCCAACTCCTACGTCCTAAAAAAAACATCTACGCAGCTAAAGTTGAATTACTCTTTGATGTACCTCTCCCTTCTCCTGAGACCTAGATTTAAAGAGAAAGAGTTTTGCAAGATCACTGAACTCTTTAAACTTCAAGAGGCGGTCAGGATCAATGGGTCGGCACAATAATATTTTTTGGCTTGTCATCCTTTTTTTTTTTTTTTTTTTCCTTTGTAGTGATTAGTGAGTCTAACAGAAAGCTTTAATCTTGTTAATTGGAGTTATTGCCAGTGGTCCGAGAGGTTAGGAAAGGTCTGTGGTCTGGTGGAACTTCCAGCAGCAAGTGTTCTCCTGCGGTGGCCGACCCCGCACAGCTCCATCCACACCACAGCTCCATCCACACCACAGCTCCATCCACACCGCGGCAATGGGAGCCATGGCGAGGAGATTCCAACCTCCGTAGCCACAGCTCTGGTCGTTAACAGGCAACCAAACGTGAACTTAAAAATCTGGTGATAGAGCCGTAACGTGAACGCGCTGCCCGAGCATCCCTTCGGGGCCCAGCTCGGTAAACGACCCTTTTTTCGCCGCTCAGCCGTACCCAGTTTAACACAAGAACCTGTTCGGCTCCCAACAGCGCTCTCCAGAGTAAATCCGTCTGCTTATTTTGCTCTTACGTTTCTTAAAGCTATCTCACAGTTTACACCCCCACACATTCTGAAAACCTCTGAGAAACACATGCCTCTCCCATCCTCTCCGGTGCTGAGCAGGAACACTCGTTACCTGTCTGGATGAGGGCAAGAAACACGAATATTCTTTCGGCTCAGCTCATCCCGTAGCTGAGGACACATCTTACCCAGGAGGAACAGTTTTATTTACTTTTCGAACTGCCAGAGAGCAGCTTGAATACAATCTGCAAGGGAGAAAAACTGAGTCATCATCTTTAGTATTACCTTATGGCAGAAGGTTGGGGTTTTTTTTTTGCTGTTTTTTTATTAAATAGGAATGTGCGTTGTCTCACCTACGGGACTGGCTAACAGCATAGTGAAATGCTGACATCAGGTGGGCCAAAAGGGTAGAAACTGCGCTGCTATGGAGGGAAAAGAGTTTCTTTTTAGTAAATAACACATTATTTAACCTCCAGAACTAATTAACTTCTTTAATGAAGGAAGCAAGTATTAAATTTGACCCTCAAAATCTTCCGTAAGGCTTTTAACCCCTTAACCCGCAAGACAGTCCTTCACAAGAAGCTAGGAATGAACAGATTTTACATTCCTGATGCAAGTAGAATTTTTGTCAAAGCATGTTCAAAAATTCATGGCGTATCGTGTGAAAGCAAAAATGCACACGGGTCCGTTTATAAAAGATTAGTTACACTGGGCAACGATGAGGGAAACTGTCGAAAAGCAGGTTTTCTAGGAGAGAAGGATCCTTATTAATCAAGTATAAGAATGCAAAAGGAAACAATGCGCATAAAAGGGAAACTTTCATTTTTAACCTCTTCAAAAAGACTATGGAAAACCATATTTATTTCTTGTGCTCTCTGTTCAGTAATTCTCTGTGGTTGATATAAACAATTACACCGACAAATATTTTGCATCCATTATGAATCAAGAGTGGCCCACAGACAACTTCACCCACCTGTCGGAGAGCTGTTTCATTTCTTTTGATTTTTATGACACGCAGATGGGGATTTTTGGAAACAAGAAAAGAAAAAGCATTCAAAATTGATTTTTTTTTTAAAAAAAAAAAAAGAAAGAAAAAAGGACTCACATACTCTAGTACTGAAGTAATCCGATGGGCTCTAAAGTCTCTCTCTTGAGATTTCTTCTCCCCCCTCCGCAAATGCAGACCTTTTGGAAAGAATATCATTCGACTGACACAGGTGAAGCTCCAACTTATTTATTTTTTTATTAACTGCTCGTACAATGTCAGGGGAAACCTAGCCAGACTAGCAGTTGCTATGGTTCTATTGCAGTGAAGTTGGGTTTCTCAGGTGGAGTCCTACCATTATATAGCAAGACATTTTTCTTTTCTTCTGGGTTGTTTTTTTTTTATCTTTTTTTTTTTTTTTAAAGATTACAGTGCAGTGGCAATGCACTAAGACAGTTCTACTCAGATATGCAACAAATCGCGTTTCACAGTGCCTACCAAAAGAAAAGCAAGGGAGCAACACGTCAGGGATTCACTATAGGAATCTTCTGCTACGAAGGCGCATGCTCATTTACAAAGCCTTAATGTGATGGGCGGCATCTTCTGGCTGCATGACTAAGTAAGCAGAAACGAGTGAAATCAAATAAACAAACACCGGAAAAGCTGATACGGGATAAAAGGATACAGCGCCATTTCTTCAAGATCAGTATTTCAGAGTAGCAAGCAAACAGGCATTTCCCATCAGAATCCGAGCATGACCTCTTTGCCGGGTACCACCTTCCTCATCCCTTACAGCAATATTCATTTTCAAAGTTATTTTACAAGCAATCAGGAGGGGGAAAAAAAAATATAAAAAATAAATTGTATAAACAGAGGGTTTGCGCTAGGTTTTTTTCTTTCCACTGAATGCAAAACTATCCTCAGGGAAAGGAGGGAATTTTGTTTCCCTTGTTGATCAGAAACGGCCTAAATAAAAATAGAGGAATCATCTTAATGAAGCTTATGTATTGTTCGGTTTAAAAAAAAAAAAACTTTCCAGCTTCTACTACCGAGGTCAACAGAAATGCAAAGCAAAAAGACGCAGTCATCGGGTGTAGAAACCTGTATCTCGTCCGTAGGGCTCGTGATTAAGCCATTTGGGTATAGAATTGGCTGGCATACAGAGTTACACCTACCGTAGCACGCTCAAAGTCTTTTGAAGTCTGCCTGGACACTTAATTTGAGCCCGAGTAGCGCGTAGTCCTTCAATTAAGCGTTTGATTTTTTTCTAGGTGTTCCAAAATAGATTAAGATAGATTTCCTGTTAGTTCACAGATCTACAATACAATTCTTTACGCACTTAATTCTCATGATTTGCAAATTTGCTCTTAAAAACCCAGCAGCCCCTCGGACAAAGCCAACCTTCTTGCTTAGGAGATCGGTTACTATTTTCTCTGACTCCTCTCTTCCCAAACAATGCGACCGCAACATTTTTGTGTTTTCCTTCTAACGGACAAGTTTTGTATTGTAGAACATATAATCTAAACAGCATTTCTTATAATCTCACCAGTCAAAAAAGGGAAATATATTTGGGTTTTAGTTTTGATTTTTTTTTTTTTCCTTGAAGTTCCATTCTTAGATTGGATTTGTTTTTCCAGACAGCTCCAGATGGCTGGAAGAATTCTGTGCGCCACAACTTATCTTTGAACAAATGCTTTGAGAAAGTTGAAAACAAGTCGGGCAATTCTTCTCGGAAAGGCTGTTTGTGGGCTCTGAATCCGGCCAAAATTGATAAGATGCAGGAGGAGCTTCAGAAATGGAAGAGGAAAGACCCAGTTGCTGTAAGGAAGAGTATGGCAAAGCCAGGTCAGTAATCTGTCAGGGTATTAGTTCTCAAACTGGAGTCCCCAGAACTTTTCTTTGCAATAGGCACCAAGCCATGTAAGAGAATTTACACCTGATTTGGGAGAGCATTTAAGAATTTTTCCTGGTTATAAAGTCACTGGGAAAACAAGAAAAAAAAAAAAAAAAAGGCAGAATTAAATAAGACTTGGTTTTCTGGGAGTGCTTCAAAATAGGCACAAAGAAGTGTCACTGAGAAAACATCCTCTGTTGACATCTCTCTAAACTCCAAGATAAAAACAACACTGAAATAAGTACTATAGAATAAAATTTGGAATTAACTGATAAGCATCCAAACTTTAAACACAAAAATGCAATTTATTACGTGCTCACTTGGCAATGATAATTTAGAAAAAGATTTCAGGCTATGGGAGTTTTTATCACATATGGGCTAGCATATATGTTTCATTTGCCGTTCCTCTCACCCGTTTCCTGAGGAACACTAAAACTCTCGCTGCAAACTATGACAATTAAGGCTCCATTAGGAATAAGTATGTCACTGACTTCTTTTTTTTTTTTTTTTCTTTTCTTGTTTTGTAGAAGAACTTGACACACTGATCGGCGACAAAAGTGAAAAGCTGAGATCTTCCATCATGTCCTGCAGCCCGACGGGGGTTGCCAGTGCCTCCCTCTCCAGGCAGATGGCAGTCCAGCCCCATTCCTTGGTGGAACCTTCTCTTTCCTCCGGCATCCCACAGCCCTTGCACAGCATCCCCGCCTCGGGACCTCTACATGTCAAGACCCCAGTACCAAATTTGCTCGGGGGGCAGCAAACCGCCTGCTACCCATCACCCCAGGGGTTTCCGCACATCTCCACTACACTGATGCAACAGCCACCTGAGCCTCAGACCCTCTTTCCTTCTGGGGAGGCTCAAAGCGAGCTCGCAACTCAGCCCCGCGCCCCCCAGGACTCGCCGCTGCCGGCGCAGACCCCCCCCGGCTGCGGGGCGAGGGGGTCCCCAGCCCGCACAGCGCCGGGCACGCTGCTGCAAGAGGGGGAGCTCAGCAATGACATCGATGCTCTGAATCCGTCCCTGACTGATTTTGATCTCCAAGGTAGGTATCTAAGGTATTTTTGTTCTGTGGAGTCAGGCTTGTTACACCCCATCCCAACCTGCACAAGATCATAGAATCGTAGAATGGTCTGAGTTGGAAGGGATGGTAAAGATCACCCAGTTCCACCCCACCACCACCCTGGGCAGGGACACCTCCCACCAGCCCAGGTTGCTCCAAGCCCCGTCCAACCTGGCCTTGAACACCTCCAGGGATGGGGCAGCCACAGCTTCTCTGGGCAACCTGCCCCAGGGGCT